AGGCAGATGCACCACTGTGATCTTGCTCTAATATTGGATTGACACATGTGTGAACACCGCAGTATTCACTGATCCTAAATTGAAAATTGTGTTTCTTTCCTGCAAATGCATATAACTTCCAAGGACATGAGTAATCAGCTTCATTTCCCTCGGTCAGACCTGTTCTTTGTGTGTTCATAAAACATATTGCATCATAACTTGTGCGATTGCTTTTAACTTGCTTGAACTTGAAATTCTTTTCGAAAGAGTATTCACGAATAGCATCAACCAATTGGTCTTTAGTCTCGAATAAATCACCAACTTTAAAGGGGGCGTCATCATCTCCTCTACGAGTTGAACTTTCACCGATGCACATATCTTTTACTGTGGAAGAACGAATCCACTCATCATCTTCAAACTCGTCGGGGGGTGGTTCTTCATACTCAACGTAGTCATTATTAACGTAAGCCTCATCAGGCCATTCCGGATTATCTTCGACATCTTGGGTAACAAATTGCATACTATCAACTGGTGCACTATATTGTTCTTCACCTCCCGAGTCATTGCTTCTTTCATCCTCTTCGATTGATGCCCTACTTAACGGCCCCATATTTCCATAAGAGACTTCGTTATTCATGACATTTGACGTTCCACCGAATTGAGCCCGCTCCATTTCATTCGAAGAAGAAAGAAACCCATCGGAATTAACTCTCATATCTAACATGCGTGAGAATTCTCCTGGAGGTTTGAATATTTGGCACGGATTATGTGGTAACTTTTCAATAAACAATTCTACCGTTTGTTGCGACTTGCCCAATTTAAACATAATACTCATATGATAATCGTTCGAGATCTCCACTGCGGATGTTCTATCAATAGCTATGGGCCAATTGCATATAATTTTCAGTCGGTATTCTCGTGGGTCAATTTCCGTAACTCGGTGTAATTCCATAACCAAGTCGTAGTAACTATATGATTCCGAGATCATTAATGGCGTCGTTACCCCTCCGACGTACATTGGCATATTATTCATCCCATAATTAATTTGCCCACCATAAGAACAAACAATAAACATCATATTGTTCAACCTATTCAAAAGAAAATTATATCATTTAAATATAAAAAATTAAATTAATATGCAAATAATCTCACATAATTTCAACCAAAAACCCTAATTCCCAAATTGTAAATCCTAAACCCTAAAATTGAACAATTGAACATTATATGCCCTAAAAGTTAATTACATCGATAATAATCATCATACAAACGAATTTCACAGATAAATCTAGCCCACGAAATTCATTTATGAATGAAAACCCTAGCAAATTATTTTTAAGAAAAAAATCCTACATTTCTACAAGTTAAAAGAGGAGAGGAGTAGAAGAAATTACCAATATACGTTTAAGATAACTTTTGATTTGAAGTTCCGCCGAAGAAACGAGCTCAAAATTGAGATCTGAAGCTGGTTTTGGGAGAACAGACGGAAGAGAGAGAAGAGAGAGGCGGAGAAATGAGATGGGATCGGGGAAAGGGGGTTGCGGTGGCTTTTATACGGTGGTGGGGACCCAGAATAAGTAGTCGGGTTTCCCAAACCCGACTACTTTCAGGGTTGGGCCCCGACCAATTAAAAATGAGCTTCGAAATGGTCGGGGTTCCCAACCCCGACCATTTCGTCCCTGGCTAACCCAGCGTTGGCTGGGCTCTGCTAAATGGTCGGGGTTGGGAACCCCGACCATTTCGAAGCTCATTTTTAATTGGTCGGGGCCCCAACCCCGACCATTAAGCAGAGGGCAAGGGCGAGGCCGAAAGTAGTCGGGTTTGGGAAACCCGACTACTTATTCTGGGTCCCCACCACCGTATAAAAGCCACCGCAACCCCCTTTCCCCGATCCCATCTCATTTCTCCGCCTCTCTCTTCTCTCTCTTCCGTCTGTTCTCCCAAAACCAGCTTCAGATCTCAATTTTGAGCTCGTTTCTTCGGCGGAACTTCAAATCAAAAGTTATCTTAAACGTATATTGGTAATTTCTTCTACTCCTCTCCTCTTTTAACTTGTAGAAATGTAGGATTTTTTTCTTAAAAATAATTTGCTAGGGTTTTCATTCATAAATGAATTTCGTGGGCTAGATTTATCTGTGAAATTCGTTTGTATGATGATTATTATCGATGTAATTAACTTTTAGGGCATATAATGTTCAATTGTTCAATTTTAGGGTTTAGGATTTACAATTTGGGAATTAGGGTTTTTGGTTGAAATTATATAAGATTATTTGCATATTAATTTAATTTTTTTATATTTAAATGATATAATTTTCTTTTGAATAGGTTGAACAATATGATGTTTATTGTTTGTTCTTATGGTGGGCAAATTAATTATGGGATGAATAATATGCCAATGTACGTCGGAGGGGTAACGACGCCATTAATGATCTCGGAATCATATAGTTACTACGACTTGGTTATGGAATTACACCGAGTTACGGAAATTGACCCACGAGAATACCGACTGAAAATTATATGCAATTGGCCCATAGCTATTGATAGAACATCCGCAGTGGAGATCTCGAACGATTATCATATGAGTATTATGTTTAAATTGGGCAAGTCGCAACAAACGGTAGAATTGTTTATTGAAAAGTTACCACATAATCCGTGCCAAATATTCAAACCTCCAGGAGAATTCTCACGCATGTTAGATATGAGAGTTAATTCCGATGGGTTTCTTTCTTCTTCGAATGAAATGGAGCGGGCTCAATTCGGTGGAACGTCAAATGTCATGAATAACGAAGTCTCTTATGGAAATATGGGGCCGTTAAGTAGGGCATCAATCGAAGAGGATGAAAGAAGCAATGACTCGGGAGGTGAAGAACAATATAGTGCACCAGTTGATAGCATGCAATTTGTTACCCAAGATGTCGAAGATAATCCGGAATGGCCTGATGAGGCTTACGTTAATAATGACTACGTTGAGTATGAAGAACCACCCCCCGACGAGTTTGAAGATGATGAGTGGATTCGTTCTTCCACAGTAAAAGATATGTGCATCGGTGAAAGTTCAACTCGTAGAGGAGATGATGACGCCCCCTTTAAAGTTGGTGATTTATTCGAGACTAAAGACCAATTGGTTGATGCTATTCGTGAATACTCTTTCGAAAAGAATTTCAAGTTCAAGCAAGTTAAAAGCAATCGCACAAGTTATGATGCAATATGTTTTATGAACACACAAAGAACAGGTCTGACCGAGGGAAATGAAGCTGATTACTCATGTCCTTGGAAGTTATATGCATTTGCAGGAAAGAAACACAATTTTCAATTTAGGATCAGTGAATACTGCGGTGTTCACACATGTGTCAATCCAATATTAGAGCAAGATCACAGTGGTGCATCTGCCTCTTACATAGCGCGGTTGATTATGCCAAAATTAAGGAAGAAGCTTGATCTAACGCCCGATAATATAATTGAGAAAGTGCTTGATACCAAGTTCATTAAAATCTCGTATATTAAAGCATGGAATGCAAGAAGAATTGCGATGACAAAAATATTTGGTGATTGGGACAAGTCTTACGCGACACTAGCTCAATATCTTGATGCGATCAAAAGAAGTAATCCTGGATCTGAATACAAACTCATAACCAAAGAGATCGATCCGGGAGTTCATCAATTCACCTCTGTTTTTTGGGTATTTGGGCCTTCGATTGAGGGGTTTAAATTTTGTCGGCCTATTCTTAGCATTGATGGCACACACTTATACGGTAAATACAAGGGTGTACTGCTTGTTGCTACAGGAGTTGATGCAGATGGTGGCTTATTTCCTTTGGCCTTCGCCGTTGTGGAGGTCGAGAACAGTGAAAATTGGGAGTGGTTTTTTTCTTGCATTCAATTATATATTTTTAATGTGTTGCCTCCTAGAAAAATTACTTTCATATCTGATAGGATGAAAGGTATTCCAAAAGCATTGTGGAGGAGATTTGGCTCTCATCACCATCATCGCTATTGCTTACGACACATTAGAGCTAACTTCAAAAAGAGCTTTAGTCAGATTCATTTACAAAACCTTCTGTGGCAAGCGGGTTGTACGCCGGAAACATATGTGTATGATCGGATACGGGATCAAATCAAGGCAACATCTCAAGCTGCACATGATTGGATTGAGAGAAGTCTGGGCAGTGATTACGTCGACCGGTGGGCACTCAGTAAAGATGGAGGGAATCGGTTCTGCATGATGACAACCAATTGTTCTGAAAGCTTCAACGGGGTACTTAAGGGGGCTCGGGCAATGCCCATACAGGCGTTGGTTGCGAGGACATTTTATAGGCTCAATTACTATTTTGTCAAGCGGCGAGAGGATGGAGCAATGTGGGCCTCGTTCTTGACACCAAAAAATGAGGCGATTTTAGAAGCTCGAGTTAAGCAGGCGAGAGGCACGAAGATTGTTAGATTTGCTGTAGATGAATGGGAGGTTACAGACAAACATGGTCACAATTACACCGTCAATTTGGGAGGTGCACATTGCACATGCACCTGTAACATACCAGAATTGCAAAAATTGCCTTGTCCACATGTCATAGCGGTTACGTCCAAGCAATCGGGGGGTGCAAATATTTCGTATTACACATACGCTTCTGAGTGGTATCAATCAAGCAACTATAGAGAGGCATATAAGCAGTGTTTCCACCCCGTACATGATAGTCGTTATTGGCCACACTATAACGGGCCGCATGTGGTGCCTCCAAGCTATAAGAGACAAGCCGGACGCCCACGATCAGTACGCTTAAAAGGTACTATGGATGAAGGCCGGGAAGGAGCTCCGAAAAAAAATAGATGTGGATATTGCAGACAAGCCGGGCATAGAAGATCTCATTGCCCGACCAATCCAAGTAGATAGCAATTAATGGGTACAATTTTATACATTTGTAATTTCATTCTAACTCATTTATAGATCAATGCTTATAAAAAACTCAAACAATGCTTATAAATCAATGCTTATAGTAAAATCAATTTTTTTCTAACTCAATTATAGATCAATTAATGTATCATCGTTATATGTGCAGATATTTCAGTTATGGAGGCGGGTCCATTGACACGTGATGTTCTTTATGACCAAGAGCGCCACCGATCCGCGAAGATAGACGCTGGGGAGGTAAAGTGCAATTTTATTATTTTCAATTATATATAAATTTCAATGTAGTTGATTGTTACTGAACATTTGCACTGTTTACTACATGCAGGCCCCGAGTATTACTATTGTCGATCATACCCGTGCACATTCTAGCTGGGAGTTGACGGATCCACAGATACAATATTATGTGCGTCAAGCCGGCTTTTTTGAGTGTTCACAAATTAAATGGGTAAGACTTGATTGGGCACTTTTGACGGCGTTGGTTGAACGATGGAGGCCCGAGACAAATACTTTCCATCTGCGCCAAGGAGAGGCGACGATTACCTTACAGGATGTTGGGGTTATACTTGGCCTCAGAGTAGATGGTGATGCAGTGACGGGCACCGATGGCTTCAACTATGTCAGGGCGTGTGAAGAATTGTTGGGTCACTGTCCTACAATGAAGGGGGGAAAGATCAAGCTCGGGGTTGGGAACCCCGACCATTTCGTAAGAGACCTATTTCGAAATGGTCGGGGTTCCCAAACCCGACCATTTTGTCCGTCGTTCAGCCCAGCGCTGGCTGGGCTCTGCTAAATGGTCGGGGTTGGGAACCCCGACCATTTCGAAATAGGTCTCTTACGAAATGGTCGGGGTTCCCAACCCCGCCCATTTATGGACTAAACAGTCGGGGTTGCCAACCCCGACTGTTTACGAAGACGATTAAAAATTAATCGACCAGCTTTCTCGCCACGACGCTGACGTGGCGAGAAAACCGGTCGATTTCAGTAAATAAAAGGATACACAGTCGATTTTGATAATAAAAAATTAAAATCAGGCTACAGTGAAAATTTGTTCGAGGTAATAATCACTATCCTAAACAATAACTAATAAATTCAAATCCGAATCCCGTTACTAAACTAAATACCACCTTAAAATTTAACTTCGAATCTTAACTCAAGTCTTTAACTTCAATTGTTGTTTGACCGTTCTAGTGGACCCGAATCATTACGAATACCCGAATAGAAAGCGTACGGATAAAAGAAGGCCCTCGCCTCCGGTCTGCTTCCCTCCCGTCTGCTCCTCTTCGTCCCTTGTCTCCTCTCTCCCTCTGTCTCGCTCGCTCGCGAAGCACAACCCCATCTCCAATCAAATACACAACAAAACCAAAACAATTACAGCAAACAAAGATCGAGCTAGGGACAATTTTACTTCAGAATTCCCACTTTTCCGGTCCCTTTCGATTCTCATCGCTGCCAATTCACCAGCCAACTGAAGCTGCCGCTGCCGCCAGTGCTTTTCGAGCTAGGGTTTTAGAGGATGGCCTTCTTTCTGGGTTTGGTGCTCGGACTCGCGGTTGGAATTGGGATCGTGATCTTGTTCGTCCGCTCCGAGAATAGCCGAGCAGGAGCAGACTCAGGCTGGTGATTTACTTTGACGCCGATAACCGCACCGTTTCTCTAGAATGTCGCTTTGGTGGAACTTAGATTGTGATTCTGAGAATCTAGGTAGTCTCTTTTGGCAATTGATTGCATCTTTTTCAGTAGACTGTTCTGGAAACTGTATTAGTTTTAGTTTAGATCCGGATTTAGAGGAAATTGCTGTTTACTTTGTGAAATGTGATAGAGGACTGGAGATTTAACGTACCACCATGCTTCTGCAGTCCTTCTGCCCTTGCGGATTAATTTCACTAATTTAGTCCTGATCAAACACTGCAATTCCATCATCACCCCTTTGTCTTTGCTCTGGACTAGTCGTGGGCTTACACTGCAATACTGATGTCATCACCCTTGCCCCTCACTTGCAACTGGGTAGATGGCATTATCTGATTCCATTTATAAGAGATTTAGGAGAGAACCCGCCCCTAAAAGGTAGCTAAAATATTGGGTTGATTAAAACGTGCACAATGGAAAGATCCGATAGAAAATCTAGCAAAATTTAGCTTAATGTTTCAGTTATTCAAGCTCATGACACTTACATGCAACCCTAGTAATATTATCCTAGGTTATGAAAGGATTGAATGTGATATCGGGAACATGGTAGAAACATTTAACAAATTGACTTAATAGAGCACAGTGGACATATATGCAGCAAAACATAATTAGAAAAGAATTATAACATATATATTTGAGTATTGGTTGTGTCAGTTAAGCTCATGTGATCTGGGGGAAACCGTGCTAATATTCTCCTAGACTATGTAAAAAGTCTATAAGAATGGTGTTGTGATGTCACGAACATAGCACAGGCGTTCTCTAAATCGCCTTAATATAGAGTACACAAGAGATATAGATCGATAAAAGCACAACTAGAAAAAATATCAAAGGAATATGTACGTGCCTCAACCTACTGTGCCTACATCTAGAGAGAGAACATAAGAAAATTACACACTAGCATAATGAATAAACTACAAGAGAGTTTACAGTTATATTGCCCACATAACTCTTATAGTGATTGCATCAACCAAGTTTGATCTCTAGAGAACACTGATTCTCTCTATCCACGGAAAATCTCTTCCAAATACCTCATGAGAAGTTTCAATACTTTACTTATGTAAGATTTATCCTCGTCTTTCCTCTCCTTAGGCGGCCAAAGAGATTCCTTTATTTCCCTCCAAAATGTAGAGTACACCCTCTTATGGGCCTCTAACTTGATGTCCTTTAAGTCGAGTGGTCGATCAGTTAAATTTTATAGATTCTAAGCTCACTAGATCATATGACTAACTAGTTAACCTATCAATCCTTCACCCAATCATCCATCCATATGTTTTTCGTATTTAAAAAGTGTCTTCATGATGTAGGACGATCATGGATTGTTGATTAGAAGATTTAACATTTACTAGAAGCTTTTTTTATTTTAGTAGTATTTAACGCAATCATTATTTGTAAGTGATGTTTCCTTAGGATTTGGTTTTAAGATTTTTAAGATATTTGAGATTTTATTTTGTTGGAAATGTTTCTTTTTTAAAAAATTTTGGTTAGGATTTGATTTAATTTCTAGATTTAGTTTTTCTCTTCTATAAATAAAGTTGCAATCATCTAAGAGGAATATATTAGGATTAATGAAAAGAAAACTTCATTAGACATGAAATCCCTGTGATAGCATATTAATTGCTAAATTTTGAGATGTGAAGTGTTTGGGTCTGAAAACCTTAGTTGTGAAGCCTAACTATTTATCTAAGAGCATTGCTTTGTTACTCCGAATTTTTTTATTTAAAAGGTAGCATAGTAATTTTAGCATTGTAATTTCTACTATCTTCTTCTTCTCTCCTTAACAATGTTCTATGACTTTATCGAGAAAACCCAACCACCATAAATTCAAAACCCTACAAATGACGACAGCAAGGATGCAGGCTACCGTCTCTACCACCAAGCGCCGCCTAAGGAGATTAGCCCGACAAAGATGATCTCTTTAAATTCTCCGCTACAGGCTGTGCACTCAAATCTTTAAATCATCGGGTCTATTTGCCTATTCAATGTAGATATTTAGATCTACATCTCAAAATGTCATATTTGGTAGTTTTCACAAAATCCCCAATTGACCACCACCGAGGCAAATGATTTTAATCACCAAGAAAAACCTAAAAAAATATGAGAGCATTAGTTTATTCCACATGTATATTGAAACTCCCAAAATCAAAATGGACTCTTGCAATGGCACTTAAATTATTTAAAGTTGATGAGGGACCGACGATGGCCGGAGGGAAGGTAGCTAAGGCGGAGGCAAATGGTAAGAACTAGGCAGTTGATAAAATTAAGCATTTGTATCTTACCCCTAAAACTCAAATAAATAACGAAATTGCGGAACTCCAAAAAGCCAACGCCACTGATTTAAGTGAAACACTAAGAGCATAACTTCGGTGGTTTTTTTTACTAATTGTGCCATCGGTTCTCTAACATCGATTTTTTTAGGTACCGAAACCATTGGCTTTATGTAAACTTTATCCTCCATCGACCCGCTACCTCTCTTTCATACACATTTGATGAGCTCTTGCGATATAACCGAGTATCATGTTCACGGGATATTTTTCAATTAGTCTCTGGTTAGCATGAATTTGGTCCATCAAGCTATCAATGATTCCTCACTTTGGCAACTCTTCGACGTGTCATTCGCCATTCGAAGTTTGTTTATGTCCTAAGTATATATGAACACAGTTCTGGATAGTTATCAAAGACTATACATTTTATATACTCTTATTTTTAGATCCCGATAATATTCGAATAGCGGCCAAAATTTGTGAATTCAAAGTCCCCCCACTTTCTGACTAGAGCCCCCGTTGCGATTCTTATCAACTACTGTTAGAAAGTTTATGCCGATCCAGAATGTGGATGAATCTGCATGTTGAGAAGATCAATTTCGAGCTAACACTACTGCAAACAATTACTGAGAAGTTTAAATGTTGAGAAGGTCCATTAGAAGCAGAAAATAAAATTATAAGTCAATTTTAAATAAGAAATAAAATTTGAATCTGAGCTAGAGCCAAAAATATAACCATATTAGAAGATTGATCTTCTCTGAGGTAGTAGATCAAAAGATTGACTCAACTGAAGCTAGAAGCATAGTCAGAACACACAATTGATTCAAATCTTGAGCCTGAACTCGAGCCTGGACGAGAGTTAGAACTTAGCTCAAGCTAGAAACAGAGCCAAATGTTGATCTAGAACCTAAGTTCGAGTTAACTCTAGGACCCAAGCTTGTGTCAAGCTAAAGTTGTTGAAAGTGAAAAACAATTTGACGTTGCAAAGTTACTTTTAGGCTTTTTGGGAATTAGTCTTAAGCAGGACTTAAGCGGGAAAAACGCCACAACAATCTTTTTATTTGTAAATAGGGCACAAATTCAAAATAATAAGAAAAAATAGAATTAAAATCTGAAAAGTATAAAACAATCGAAAATTGGTGGAAAAAAATTCTACAAATGCATATATGCCCCTATACCCAAACTTTTTGAATATATGCCTACGTTTCTTCAAGCTTATACTCAATTATGTACTACATATTTTAATTTAAAACACTCTTCATACACTTCTTAGATGTATATTCTAACACGTCACATCTATTTCCAATATATTGATCTTATGTAAATGAAAAAATAATATTGATCTTATGCAAATTATTAATTTTAATACATATAAATATACATAACACACATATTTATAGCTATGTCCCCGTACCCTACTTTTTACAAATTTGCCATATCCCGTACTCGTATTCATGCCAGCACCCATACCTGTACCCATGCAACTTACCATGAAATGAAATAGATGTGCAACATTACTTAGATTGTATCACACAATATTAACAAAAAATTATACACGTTGTGATGTGATAAAGTAACATATAATAAACTATGCTTGATGTGATAAAGTAACATATAATAGACTATGCTTGTCAAATTAGTCAACAAGTTTATGAATTAATGTAAATTATCAAAGAGATTTTAGTGGTTGCTTTTAGATATAGTGGCCGGTTTTTGACTGCTTCTCGTGCCACATCCGCTTTTAGTGAGGTTTCCCAAGTGGAAACCGACCAAGGGTCCAGAACACACAAACGGCCGCTTAAGCGCCACTTTTACAACATTGTGTCAAACCTAGAATCCAAACTTCTGGTCTAGGCTAATATGATTATTGAGTTCATTATTCTAGACCTTCCATCATTTAATATCAAATTAGACATCTCATTTTGAAGATCGTGCAATTCATCATCGAATACTTCTCAAGAGTCAAATGTAATCATTACACTTTTTCCATTATAAACCTCAAGATCGACTTTTCTCTAACAAGAGAAGGTTTGACGCAAGAAGATCGTAGACTGTCAATCAAAAGATTTTAACATTTACTATTTTTTATTTTATTCAAATTTGATTTAATATTTATTTTTAGGTGAGGTTTCTTAAGGATTTGCTTTTAGAATGTTTAAGATATGTTAGGTATTATTTTGTTAGGGATTTTATTTTGTTTTCTATTATTAGAATTTGGTTAGGGTTTAGTTAGTTTCTAGATTTAGTTTTTCTTTTTGATAAATAAAGTTGTAATCCTCAATGAGGTTAAACTGGAATTAATGTAAAGAAAATTTTCTAAAATGTGAAAATTTTGAGATAGCATGTGAATTGCTATGTTTTGACATTTGAAGTGTCTTACCATGTAGCTCTTAGGTGTAAACCCTAATTAATCATCTAAAACCCTATAAGCTAATTTGGATGATTACACCCATCTTGTGCATTTTTATGTTTCGAAATAGTTGAAGCACCCCTTTTAAGCCATGAACCTGCAAATTCTATGTGCATCAAGTATGCTATTTGCATTATTGTATATTTTGCATCTTTCAAACCTTGCATTTGTAGAAAACCCCTTACAGATGCCATTGTCATAGGAAATTGACGTCTTACGACACCTTTTAGCCATCACTGTCATGAGTCGGTATTATATCTCCATGCTAAAGTCTTGCGATAAGAATTATTAACCCTTTATTATATATCCATGAAAATTTCTTCTAGATAAAAGTTTTTAGATCCGCTATTGTCTGTGATTATCTTAACATTGAGGCTTATCGCCTCCTACGATCATCACTAGTTTAACAAGCTTTCTATAGGCACCATTGAAGGTGTTTCTTTATTAAATCTTTGGTATCCACTGCTCCATTGACATTAAAGTTCACCTTATTGTTGATGGTCTTATCTTAATGGCTATGATGACCCCTCTCAGATAAATCTACTAGCATCCAGTGATGATTGAACCATGTCATAATTGAACTGCTGCAACTTCGAACTATATCTTCTATTTTTTCCTTTATGTTGCCAGCTGCTTTGATTTTCTCGATTGCCTTTATCAACTTGACGTCACCTTCACCTTGCATGCACAACCCTTTGATCCAACTTGACTTTCTGATAAAAGTTTGTGATACCTCAACAGTAGAACACAAACCTTTAAGTCTTGATATTGATCATGCAAGCGGTACATGCATTATAATACAAATACTGACAAGAAAACCACACATGGTTGGACCAATCCTACCTATGTCCTTATGGCTGCTAGAGAAAAGTCATTGTTACAATGAATAAGATACAAGACAATTTACAAACAAATATTCATGTCTATTTTAGATTCTAGTTACAAGCTCTATTGACGATGACATCGACCTCTTAGCTTGATCTTTGGAGGATAACAAATCCACAAATTCTCTTCAACTAAGAAATTTCTCTTTTCTAATACCTCAGGGTTCCATTTGGGAAACGAGATTTGGACTTGAGGTGTAGATTTATAATTCATGGATTTAAAATCTAAGGTTTGAATTCCATGGATTTATCAATCACTTGTTTGGATATCTTTTTTAAACGAGAGGATTTCAAATCTCTTAATTTTGAATCCATTGGTTAGGTTTATTATACATGAATGTGGATTCAAGTTGATGTTTTTTTATTGTAAACACATAATTACACATTGATATTGGTATCTTTAAGAAATTCTACCCCGTTAACCCCTCTTCTTTAAAATTCTAGCCATATGTGTACTCCTAAATAATTAGTGTCCATGTTGAAACAAATTTGTGGTACAAGATGAAAATCTTTGAATCAATGATCTCATACCAATATTATCTCAATATAAAAATAAATATATTATTAGGCCTAGTCTATAAAATATCATTTCATTCCTATAAAATCCTTAACTCAATACATATGAGTTGCAAGTATAATTGGAATCTAATCAGTAAAAGCTATCTAACTTTTGAATCACACGCAAGTTCAAGCCAAACCCTATTGCTTATAAGTAAAAAATAAAAGGACCAATAGCAAATCATCAAATACCAATTTTCTCAACAAAAAAAAATGAACACCAACATAATCAACAATAAGATCAAACTCTTAGCTTTTAAACTTCTTGAACTAAGAGCGAAAGTCCACCCACTACTAAAAGTCATTAGACAAGGGAAAAATAACAAAAAGGATTTAGGCAAGGGAAAAAATAACAAAAAAGATTTAAAGTTTTAGCTGCTATAAAATCCTTAACTCATTAACCAATATAAGAGTTACTGCACAAAAATTAACCAATATAAGAAAACTCATAAAAATCAAATAATATCACACAAATAAGCAAGTTATACGTTAAGTATTAACATCCAAGCGCATGTCGTTGCGAATTCTGAGTGTTTCACAAATAAAATGAATCTAAGCAAACTTCATATTAACATGAAACATCACATCTTTTCTCTATGGAAAAAGACATCATAAAACCATTTCATGTTGTCATCTTAGCCACACTGTTCTAATTTTCAAACATCACAAGCATAAAATAACTAAACAACAACTTTAGAAAAACATAGGTTGTTTGGTCACTATAACATTTAACATAACCAACCATAATCTTTTAGTATAGACTCGACGACACATAAGAGTTTGGCAAACAATCCCTGGAAGAAGCACTAGGCTACACTAATAGCGTTCATTTAAACCCTACTTTATTGCTATGATAAGCCTGATATAAAGGCATTTCTCACACATCTTGTTTGTTCAAAGACAGGAGATAGAATATAACGTGGATTTGTTGCTTCAATAAGGCGATGTAAAGACATTGCTCAACCATTGTGTTCATTCAAAGACAATTAGGAAATGTTGTCATTTGTATCTCTATCTAGCTTTTCTTTGAATTCCCCTTAGGACTTGTAGCTCCATTATCAGTTGACAGTGACATTGGAGATATAGGGATGAGACATCAAATGAAGAGTCAATCCTACTATTCTCTGATTAATTTAAATGCAAAAGAAATAAAGACTAAAAAGTAAGCATAACTACGGTCAATTTAAATTGCAGTTGCTATGGACTCGTATCTAAATCTTTTTAATTCACATGTCTTAATAAAGAGGAAAAATGATGTTATCGGAAATAAATGTTTATAGGTTATATTGAGGATATAGTTGTATTCCTTGGCCAAATAAAGAGGAAAAATGATGTTATTGAAAATAAATGTTTACAGTGAGGTTATAGTGAGGTTATAGTTGTTTTCAGCAGTTTAAGGTGGCATCTTAATAAGACAAGAACTCAATATGATAGGTTACGAATCCTCCAAAACTTAACATAACATATAAATTCTAATAAGGAACAAAGTCTCCATTAATAAACAAGTGCAGCAAAATTGCATCATAGATAAATAAGTGTTTCCAAGGGTTGTACTATTATATATATTGCTCATTTCAAGTACTTGATCATAGAAACATATTCATAAAATAGATTTGATAAACATTGCGATACTCTTGCTTAGCATGACATATCTCCAAAATATGACAATTTTTTTTCATAATATTTCATAATATACATAATAACAATACAAATTGGAAACTCAATTCATGATGATAAAATATGAGGACCTCTGCCATTGCATGCAATCAAGAGACTATTAATTCTGAAGGTAAATCAATGACTAAGTACATCGAACTTTGCAAAAGCACATGAATGCTTGAAAGAAAAGCATATACGAAACTGATTCTTTTTAAAAAGAATAGTTTTGTTGGCTTAATATAATCAAAATACTAAGTCAGTAATATTTGTGTCAATTGAATTGCATAGCACACATAGGAGAAGAAGGTAGCTTAGCAAAACTTATAGTTGTTGACAGTTAACAACATATTATGAAGTTTAAGAGAAATCAATTAAGCTGTAAAAGTACATGTTTGTCGGTCAAAAGATGCTGAAGTTTCTTATCGATACTTTTGGAAAGGAGTTTCCAAATTTTAAATTTTCCTTGTTGTATTAATATTAAAACTATGATGTATGGACTATTAGGGTAAAACACCAATCTTAAACCACGTAATAGGTAATATATATCGGTTCATACATAGCTATTGTGTTAATAACTAGAAGTTTATCTTTGTTGCTTTCTTGGCCTAAATAACATTTTAACTTGTATGGCAGAATCCACCAGATTTTGAGGTCAAAAGGAAACGAGAATGGAAGTAATTACTATAAATTTCTTAGAGTGAAAACATCAACTTGAAATGAAACTAGAGATCGCAAATCATAAGTTAGGATCCATAAAGAAACGACTAATATGCAACATGCTGGCATGTATAAATATGCACAAACACTTCAAGGTTATGACCTTAGTTAAACCCTATAAATCAATCCATTAAACCCAATAACCTTGGTTAAGACATAGATGTGCATGATGCTCAGAGATGAGAGATCTAACATCATTGATCTACTTTAGTTAAAAAATTATCACTTAATGAAAGAGAGTGGTATAGTCATTAGCCTGTACATGGTTGATAGTAGTGAGCATTTTAACCCTTAATTTCCATTAAATTAACTAAATTTTGTACAACTCTATTTTAAAATAGATTAATGTAGGTTAATCGAATTAGAGTGTGATTAAAAGTAAATTTTATGAAAATAAATGTTAAAAAGCTCAAAAATTAGCATGTAAGTGTCATATAGGAATTTCCGGATGAATATTCTCACGTCTGCATAACATATGGTGTTATAGTGCAAATTTTATAAAAACTTCAGGGTATGTAAGTGGTACTAAAAATAAGTGAGGGTATATAGGTGCAAAGTAGGTGAAGCTATAAGGTAATTAAATGCTAATCGGTCTTCTTTATCCGCCAATAACATTATTCAAAGTTTACTAATCTAAAAATTACACAAAGCTTGGTAAATATCATTCCAAGTTAATGCAGTATCTTATTGTACTTATCTTATCCTCATAACATGTGGAATCAAAGCTTCTAACTAATGATGTAACATCTAGGTATTGAAAAATTTGCATACACTTAAAAGCTCAATGCATAAAGGACATAACTTCATATGGTTAAGCAACACAAAAAAAAAACAATGATACATGAAATTGAAGACGTGAACTTTTAGTATCAATTTACTTATTGATTCATTAGACAACATCAGAGAATTTTATAAACCCAGCACAATACAATTGAACATTTTTCAATTTGGATTATTAGTTTAAAAATTATAACACATACAACTTAGTGAAGAATCTTAGAAGAAGTCCTAACATTTAGAATAGGAGCATCAAACCAAAAACATAAGCCTTAACAAAAGTATCCTAAAGCACATAGCTTCATCAACAATTATCCATTCACATGTTCTTTCAAAAGATAGATAAAGTTGTGACTGAGTGAGATAAGCTGCAAATTATTAAAGAAAAATGAGATTTGATTATTAATTTTAACTAGGTTATTGTTTGTAGTAGTATTTTCTAAAAACTTGCCTCAAAGGTAAGAACTTGTTTGTTTTATAATCTAATGATTTGAAGAGAGCTTATCCTGACGCTAAAAAGGTAAGGCAGATATCACAGACCATTTTGATCCAAAACAGTAAAGCATTTTACCTTCGATGTACACACTCAAATGATCTGATATTTGAATATGATTGAACTAAGGCAATTGCACCATCTTTATGATTTTTCTATGTCTCCAATTTTTCGAAGGATGCCTCACTCTCCGATAGCAATGCTCAACAATAAACTATCCAAAAGAAGGAGATATTTAAAGAATTAGAAAGGAGACTGCAAATGGATGAAAATTATAAATCAAGATGTTCAATTAAATTTCGGGATGAGACCTAAGGAGATTGTTCGCAGCAGAAACCCTATAATTGGATCTAGGGGAGAAAGAACGAGGTCTCCTCAGGTGAGTTTCAATAATGGGAGGGGGAGACTCGGGCATGAGAAGAGATAAGTTTTCTAGCTGAGGGGATGGATTGGGTGGTGCGAGGCACCAACGGTGGCGACGATGAGGCGGGGAGTACAATTTGGAGTAAGGACCTAATTGCAGATCGCAAGATGAAGACGACAAATGAGGTGAAAAGTTAGATCTCACAAGTCAAATGTATCAAGCTGAAATTTGAAATCCATGCTATTAAGCTTTAAACTCCACCCACTTCAAATAAATTGATACATGAAATTGAAGACGTGAACTTTTAGTATCAATTTACTTATTGATTCATTGGACAACATCAGAGAATTTTATAAACCCAGCACAATACAATTGAACATTTTTCAATTTGGATTATTAGTTTAAAAATTATAACACATACAACTTAGTGAAGAATCTTAGAAGAAGTCCTAACATTTAGAATAGGAGCATCAAACCAAAAACATAAGCCTTAACAAAAGTATCCTAAAGCACATAGCTTCATCAACAATTATCCATTCACATGTTCTTTCAAAAGATAGATAAAGTTGTGACTGAGTGAGATAAGCTGCAAATTATTAAAGAAAAATGAGATTTGATTATTAATTTTAACTAGGTTATTGTTTGTAGTAGCATTTTCTAAAAACTTGCCTCAAAGGTAAGAACTTGTTTGTTTTATAATCTAATGATTTGAAGAGAGCTTACCCTGACGCTAAAAAGGTAAGGCAGATATCACAGACCATTTTGATCCAAAACAGTAAAGCATTTTACCTTCGATGTACACACTCAAATGATCTGATATTTGAATATGATTGAACTAAGGCAATTGCACCATCTTTATGATTTTTCTATGTCTCCAATTTTTCGAAGGATGCCTCACTCTCCGATAGCAATGCTCAACAATAAACTATCCAAAAGAAGGAGATATTTAAAGAATTAGAAAGGAGACTGCAAATGGATGAAAATTATAAATCAAGATGTTCAATTAAATTTCGGGATGAGATCTAAGGAGATTGTTCGCAGCAGAAACCCTAGAATTGGATCTAGGGGAGAAAGAACGAGGTCTCCTCAGGTGAGTTTCAATAATGGGAGGGGGAGACTCGGGCATGAGAAGAGATAAGTTTTCTAGCTGAGGGGATGGGTTGGGTGGTGCGAGGCACCAACGGTGGCGACGATGAGGCGGGGAGTACAATTTGGAGTAAGGACCTAATTGCAGATCGCAAGATGAAGATGACAAATGTGGTGAAAAGTTAGATCTCACAAGTCAAATGTATCAAGCTGAAATTTGAAATCCATGCTATTAAGCTTTAAACTCCACCCACTTCAAATAAATTGATTTCGACTCGTAGCCCAAAGTGATATCCAAACTAGGGATTTGGATTTAGGCTATTTTAGATTTCAAATGCAGGACCCAAATCTAAGTTTCCAAATAGACCGTAGAAATTTTGATACTATTTTTAAGGGATGTGACTTCGTTACAAGGGCCACAATTTTAACGCATGCTACCAATCTTGTTTGATGAACTAGAAGTAACCCACCAATATTTTTATTGGAAATTTTGACTATAGATCATAGATGACACATGCTATAATGAATTACACTCAGATATGATGCACAACATAAACGATGGGGCAATAGAATTTAGCGATGAAGACTAGTACTAATTTAGATCACTTTATCCCAAATGGTTGAGCTAATGATCTATGATCTCTATCATATTTTAAGTTCTCGTCATTTCCAGTTGATTTCCAATACTAGAGTAAGTTTGCACTCTAACTGGCTGCTCTTCCAGTGGGTGCTTAGTCACAAAATTTTTTAAAAAATAACCATAGAGGAAGGTATAGCATTAGCCAATCCCTTCAGTGTAGAGTTTGTCAATTAAAGTGTGATGTATGGTCCTATTGCAATTAACTCTTTAAGGAATTTCCTTAGCTGTAGTATTTTTTCCTCCATATAACATAATTTAATTTTTGTATTAGATTACAGACTGAGAAGATAGCTGCTTTATCTTTTTCTGCAGGCCACAATAATAGCGGCTTTATCAAAGCTGTCAGTTGAGGATTCAAGGAAGCTACTTCCAGCTGAACATTATCCTTCTTGGGTTGTTTTCTCGCGTCAACAAAAGTTGAGTTTGTTGGTGATTTTTTCTGTATTCATGATTCTTTACATACAAAGCAATATATGTATATTGATATTATCAGTATTATTCTACAGTTGAAGTGGCTCAATCTCGAATTGATGAAAATATGGCCTTATGTCAATGAGGTGATTCTTCTTTTATTCTATCTTCTTAAATTTCATTCTCTGGGGTTTGATTTCTTAATCATGCCAGAATTATCAAGTTCAGTTGGAATGATGAAAGTCCTACTGGAATAATTTTATTGTATTTACAATTTAAATTCCTACAGGCAGCATCCGAGTTGATAAGAACTTCAGTTGAACCAGTGCTTGAACAGTATAGACCCATCATATTATCTTCCCTCAAGTTTTCAAAGCTGACACTTGGTACCGTTGCTCCACAGTTTACCGGTGGGTTTCTATACATATTTTACTGTTATAGAAGTATTTTACTAGGATTATCTTGTTTATATTCTGAAGTAATGTTTGTAAACTTCGTTTAAATATTTTTCGTCTGTTGTACTACCCACAGTTTTCAATGCACGAGTAAGTTACTTTTGTCTTTGAAAAAAAGGCCTTCACTGATTATAAGTGAATGTTAAGACAAACAATTTCGTGAATTTTTGGTTGTTATTCTTTGTTTTGTTTCCATCATCAGATTTTAGTTGCTATAAAACATTGCTTTATAAATCCTGGATAATGACTAGATATAGTGCTTCTCATGGTTTGGTAATGGAATTATTACTTACGTTTATAACATTGTATACAGAGTAACCCCAAAGTAGGTACACATGGTACAGTTTAAGTGTAAAGAAGGCACTTCCATTTAATTTGTAGTTTTGGTAACTCTGTTTAAGTGCATAGTCGACCACTCCAAACCTCTATTGTGACGTTATACGCATTCAAAATTTTGCATTTAACCAATAAGTAAAATCGATTAAAGACATTACATTTTTCTTGGTCACCATTAGTATATTGCATATAACTTCGGATTTTCTTTTGGATGCTACTTGTCATGCTCTGTTGATGTTGAAGTTTGATGTGGCAAAACTGGAAATGAATTTTCTCTTGGGCCTACCATAGACTGTATAAAGATATCAGCGGTCAAGAAGAAGTGAGTACAGAATGTTAGTAATCTTGCAGTGTTTAATCTATTGCCACATGAGCATGCTAACATGTAAGATAATGAACCATCTATACCTTTGAAGATGTTGAGCAGTAAAAGGATTGTATGCATATAAAGTCATAGTATAAGAAGCATTGTTTTAGAAAGCATTGGGCGCTGGCTAGACCAGGGCCCAAGTGCATAGGTTGGTGCTTCAGCTGCACCTAGGTGTTATTTATTTTTATTTTTATTTTGGCTCTTCATGAAGTATATGATTATGTAAATATCATTATAAGCAAAACCGTAATAATGATAAATAAAGACAAATTAACTTCTTCGTAGTATGCACAGTGGTTGGAGGTGGTGATGGTTATTGGGACATGAGACAATGGCTCTAGCACCTATGTCAAATGATGAGAGTAGACTATGATAGAGGAAAAGATTTTTTGAAGATTCGAAACCTGGCCTCAGTGGTTTATCAAACTGGATTTGGATAACGGTTTTTGACTTGATCCTTTTTTATCAGATAAAATTTTTCTGTACTTATTACTATGTTTAAGCACAGTATGTGCTCAGTTTTCCGATGTGCAGACTTTTAAGTGCCAAAACACTTACTTGAGTGGTTTGGGATTGCCTCCACCTAGGCGGATGCTCAAACCGGTTTTTAAACCAGTGATAAGAAGACTAAGGTGCATGTTTAATGTATTGAATATAAACAGGACCTTGATACCACTGGATGTTGAAACAAAACCTAATTAGTCAACAACCAACCATCCAATAAGTTCTCTCCCATTCAGATAATTTTTTTGAGAATATAGAAAAGTTCTCTCCCACTCATGGAGCAGTATTTTGTTATCTTTCAGTAGAAGATGGGTTCTAGTTTCATAAGTACGGTCCTTGAATATAGCATGGAATACATCCGAAGGCACTAATTTGCATGGCTCCTTGTTGACTCAGCAGCCTATGATGAAAAATAAGAAAAGTTCATTGCCGGAACATCTTCACCGTGCTGTTCTCCTTGATGTAACTCGAAGAGTGAGGTTGAGGATGATTGCATAATAATTATTGTAGCTTTTCGATTATATCTTCCGAAATCATGTTCATTCGAAAATGGTCACTTCAAAGTTCAAATGAAAAAGTATATTTCTGAATCTACCAGAAAATCAATTGTCTCGTTTTTTAGATGGAGCACGAACTTTCGTGCTATCTCTTTCACGGTCTTTATCCTCTCCCCTAAGCCTTCAGAATACTTCATAAAGACCTTCCGAAAAGAGATACCTAACTTGGCACCCGTTTGTAAAGCCCTATAATGTGCTTGTGAGCAGGTTGTTACGCTTCTGCTGCAAATATTGTTAATTTTCTCTTCTTCGTAGTTGATAAGATAGCACTATTTTCTAGAATAGAACTTTAAATTTCTTCAACGGGACAAAAGAGATGTCATGGTTTTCCATATGGTAAATGAATATGTGAATATGGTTGCAAAATGACTTGCTAGTTTAAGCCTTGCAAAAAGCACTACTTATGGTCTACTTTGCTATGGATCACAAAGCATGCATATACATACTTAGCCTGATTAATTCAACTTTTCTGTATCAAGGGGTTGTTTGTCTTGGCTTCAAACTTAAATGGTTGCAATGATCCTTTCCCAGTGCTTGCTGATTGCGTCTCTTTCGCTTCACTGTTGCAGGCTTTTACTTTTCTCTTTTCTGATCTTTTCTTGAGTTCTCGTGTCTTGTTTTGATGTGCATGAACATGGTAGGAGTATAAAATCTCTGTACAGTACAATCAAACCAGATTTCTTTGTTAAGCATTAGGTGGGGTGCTAGCCTTATTGGGAATATCAACTGATAACCTTGTAAAAATATACTAGTTTGGGTTAAAGCATATCTTATTTGCCCTACTAATTCTGGTAAGCAGTCATATGGGATGGCCTATTAACTCTTGAAAAGAAATCAAAATCTGTTTGAACATTGGTAGACCTATAAAAGATCTATCAATAAGCTTAACGGAGTTTTGTATTTCTGGGTTTTGATCTGCCAATCAATAAGCTTAACGGAGTTTTGTATTTCTGGTTTTTGACCTGCCAATTTGGCCAAGGTTTGCTTGTTTAGTTGACGTATTTCTCTCTTTGCTGGATGATTCTCATGGGTCAATAACTCTAATACTAATGCAGCACATTGATAGTGGGTACTCGCCTCCGTAGTCAATCCCCATTCATTTAGAGCTTATTTTACTACTCCATGACATTGGTATAGCTGTTATTTTTCTAACTGCTTACAGTGAAAAACCGCCAGTAATCTGCCTTATATTTGAAATTTGAGGTATAGGAATATAGTTTGGTTAGTGCCTTTCCAAAGTTGCCTCCAAAAGACCTATCATACTATATTTACTTGATAAGTACTTGTTGGCTCGTTTGACGTTTCTCCATCATTGTAAGATTGGTCACAGAGATTCATAAATTAATTTATGTTTAAGATCCGTAACTGAAAGCAAAAAAGATATATTGAATCTTCCAGTCTTTCGCCTGCAGTAATCTGTTAACTTTGATTGTTCTTTATCTGGTTCATGTTTGTCCAAAAACTAATGTGATATTATCTTTAGGGGTTTCAATCATTGAAAATGATGATTCTGGGATCACCATGGAGTTGGAGCTGAATTGGGATGGAAATCCAAACTTAGTGCTTGATGTTGGAACTAGACTTGGTTTGTCACTTCCTATTCAGGTAACATTTTATTCCCTTTTTTCTGTAGCTCCTATACATATAAAGTAAGAGAGTATAACTGGAGCTGAAGAAGACAGCCTACTGGAATAATTTTCCCTGGAAGGATAATAGGGAAGATACTTCTAGTATTTTGGCAATATCTCCACCAAGAGACTTCCCTTCTTATTAAGTAATAACTAGCTGAGCAACATTATGAGACTATACAATCCATGCAAATTTTTGCTAGAATAATTGGAAATAATTATCTATCAATTTTAAAGTGTACACTAATACTATTTTATGTGTGCTTTCAATTAATTGTGAAAATTAGAACCAGTTGCTGAACATTGTAAGATGAGCTTTATTCAATCACAAAAATATAACTCTCTTCTTCTATAATAAGATCACGTGTATAGCTTGTTATTAAGGAAGTATTCAAACAGATTAGAGTTGTAAGCTTTCCATTAAAATGTGTATAAAAGTGGAGATGGATAATAGATACCTGTCATTCTAAATCTGATGTCATCATGCAGACATGAGGTGGCTTCCCTGGCAACCTTATTCCTCGTCTTTCTTGATCATTTGGCAAACTTCTGTTTGCTTGCGACTACATATGCTAGTAATTTGGTAGCAGTCATAGTAGTGTGGTTTAGTCATGTGAATCCTTATGGAAGTTTTGTACTCAAACCCTTTTTTGGACAAATCTGTATTACCACTATGAGGATGATAATCATAAGCTTGTTGGGGAGTAGTGGCCGCTGTTTTAAAAAGCCTCCGCTTAGTCCGCCTAGGCGTACGCCTAGGCCTAGGCGGTACCTAGGCCGCCTAACTAATGCCTAGGGCCTGGGCGATACCTAGGGGGCCATTGTCTGCTTATGTGGACTATACCATTTAGACCTTGATCGTGATTTTCTGTGTTGCAACCTCCACGTCTTCCAACCTCCTTCAAACTCTTTTAACCTTATCTCCTCCGATCTTCCGCAAAACCTCATCAACCACCACTTAAAATAAGAAAGAAATCTACCTAGACATTAGTCCGGCACTTGTGCTTTCTATAACATTGACATTTACTATCAATTATTATAATTAAAAAATAGAAAAAAGAAAACCTCCTAGGCTCTAGGCGTCGGGTTCACCGCCTAGGCCTCCTAGCGCTTTCTATATAGCCTTGTTAGTTATTATTTTGGTTATTTAGTAATGGTTTATTATGGATCTAAGGTTGCTATCTTTTTTGGCAAATTCATATGAATTTAATACATATTTTTATCAATTATTATAATTAAATAATTTAAAAATTAGCTAAACGTCTAGGCGTATGCCTAGGCATCCAGGCGCTGGCTCAAACACCTAGTCCGCCTAGCGCCTTCTGTAACATTGATGGCTAGTAGTAGTAGTTTAGCAAATAAGTAACAGGTAACAACAATCTAAGTGGATGGAAAGAAAAACAAGGCTGAAGAAAGAAAGAGCAAGACTAGAGTGAGTTGACCTTATTATATAAGCTGAAAGAAACCTTCTTGTAAGTCGAGGCATACACTTTCCATGGGAAAAGGAGTAAAAAGTTAGAATGAGGGAAGTTAGAAAACAAAGGTTGATTATTAACATTAACAGTGTGCTTCCACTCTTTGAGAAGAAAAAAAGTGGAAAAGAAGAGCGATGAGCATGAAAAGCATAAAGAGGGGCCAGTAAAAGACAACTAATATTGAGAAGGGAAAATTGTTCCTTTTTACTAAAAATTATGTTGATTTGTGAAAAAAGAGTACATGAATGTGGTTTATAACACTAACCATGGATGGTACCTACCTTTTTGTGCTCTTCTTGAACTTTTAGATGTATATTTCTCTAAGTGAACTATAGTAAGAATGACAATAATCAACATGTGCCATGCCTGTGATCATCAATTCATAGATTATTGCATTCCCATTTCATATATTAGTTTGCACTAGAAACAAAGATATGCACTGTGATATGAGGGACAATGACAAAAACTTGGAAGAAAAGATCTTCAACTTTTTTTATCAGAGTTTCTCATATGTGTCATGATGGACTTTCCCCAGAGAGGGATATTGAAGTTTCATTTATAGAGAAGCAATAGACTACAACTGCAAATCTTTCAATGCCGGGCTGTAACACTGATCTTTAAATTTCTTTTAATATACTTACCTTAATACTTCTCTCAAGTTGGACCACATATAAATAATGCCCAACTTGATAATCAAAGTAGAGATTCTAGAGGAAACGTTTTAGCAAATATACCTATAGTGCAATCTTCTGAACACGTATAAAGTGCATCTTGTCTTGTTCATGATTCCCTCACAAATTGATAGTTAACCTCCGTGCTTGGCTCGCTCAGGATGGTAAGGTTACTAGAATTTGGCAACCTGATTGTCACTATATGTAAGTGTGTAACTTGGACATTGTACATTGTATTTTGCTATCAAAGTTTTCTATCACAACAACTCACAAGTGGTATGAACCATGGGCTTATACTATGTCCCCGCAGTGTACCTTTCAACAGTATGTTTCTTGCTTGTCCAAGTAAACTAGGTTGCTATCAACATAGTTATAGTAGCCAAAAGAGGACTTTCTATTATTCTTGAACCCAACACAGCCTGCATCAATATTAGGTCAGACGCCCATGTTGTTTGTGTAGCCTTTGTAGGAGAACATTTCACATATCATAGAATCCTTGGGAATGCCGTCAAGCAGCACTAGGTTTTGAGAAGAAGAAAGAGGATGGGGACTGCAGAAAGTTTTGCTTTTTTAGAGAAAAATCACCTAGGGTTTCCTAGGGATATTTCTCTAAATACCAGTTTATTGTGGAAAATGACTTTACCCCACAACATAGCGTAATGGTCAGGCTTTTATCTGCAGCCTACAGGAAAGAAAATAGGCTATAACTACATAATCTTTGATGGAGACTAAAACACTTTTCTCTCACTTCCTAATGTAATAAATTGTTCTAATAATACGTTCTGTGCATATTCTGGTTTTAGTTAGTAAGAATCTAACGTGCTGTTGTGATCGCCACATTTGATTCTGTTTGAAAACTGTATGTTCACATGGAAGTTTTATGATGAGTGTAGACTTCCAATCATTTCAATATTTCATTTATAGCATATGACTGATAATTCTTATTGGCCACCCATCAATTTAGGTGAAAAATATTGGATTTACTGGGATCTTTCGTTTAATCTTTAAGCCACTTGTAGCAGAGTTTCCTTGCTTTGGAGCTGTTTCTTATTCCATGAGAGAGAAGGTACAGCTGCATAATTTCTGCCAAAATTTTAGCGTTCTTATGTCTAGTAAAGTTACATAAGCTTTATTTCTTAACATTTTGAATGTAGAAAAAACTGGATTACACTTTAAAAGTTATTGGTGGTGAAATATCATCTTTCCCTGGAATTTCTTCCGCTATTGAGGTGCAGAATCTCCATTCCTGGAACATTTCATTTTCGTAGATATATTTATTTGCCTGTCAGTGTGGTTAGTAATAGTTTTATTTGTCCAGGGAACAATTCATGATGCTATTGAAGACACCTTGATGTGGCCCGTTCGAAAAGTAGTTCCTATAATACCTGGCGACTATAGGTATCTTCTTTTATCATTATAGTTCTCTGAGAGATGTTTTTCAATCGATTGGGTGGTAACCATCATTTGCAGTTTCTCTTTTTCTTATCCTTTTTCTCTTTGTGCAGTGATCTAGAGTTGAAACCTGTTGGAATATTAGAAGCAAAGCTTGTCCAAGCAAAAGATTTAACTAATAAAGACATGATAGGAAAATCTGATCCATTTGCTGTTCTGTACATCCGGCCATTACCTGATAAAATGAAGAAGAGCAAGACAATTGTATTCTGCATTCAACAACTTTTCTTCATTTCTCCATCATGCTCTAGCTACTTAACTTTGTGTTTCTGCAGAACAATGATTTGAACCCCATTTGGAATGAGCATTTTGAATTTGTAGTGGAGGATGAATCTACTCAGCATTTGGTAGTGAAGATTTATGATGATGAAGGTCTCCAGGCAGCTGAACTTATTGGTTGTGCTCAGGTAATGTTAAGGGACCTTCAACCAGGGAAAGTGAAGGATGTATGGTTGAATCTTGTGAAAGATTTGGAAGTGCAGAGAGATCGGAAATATCGGGGCCAGGTCAGCTATGTAAATTGTAGAACACAAAATACTTTTTTCCGGAAAAGGTTACCTTTAATATTTTTTCTTGTACCATATAATAAGTAGCAATATAGTACTAAATGCATGATTGTTTTATAATAGACGCGCACACACACATCAAATTTACATATTAATAATTGCTTCATACCTAGCTTTCTGTGGTATATCGTGTGCAATGCATAATCCCTTTGCAACACATGTTTGTTTGTCTCAATGTTCGCAAGAATTTAGCCCACCACTCTCATCAATTTCATGTAACTGAAATATAATGTTTTAGGTTCATTTGTTTGTCACAGTTTTAAAGGTCAGAATTACCAGGCATTTTCATCTACCATAAGTGGTTACATATATTTTATTCCTCATTTTTCCCTTGTTTGGATGTCCTATCTTACAGGTGCCTAGAATCCTACTGCCAGTCCGTGTAACCAAAACTTGTAAAGGAGTTTCTAGATACTAAATTGTGTCATTCCATTATGCACATTGTCCTTATAGCACATTGATATTTGCTCAGAACTTGAGAATATGGGGATTATCTGGTGAACAATGACTAGGGTTTTAACTAGAGCCATGATCATTGTTTCATATATCCCCGACATGGCCGATATATTGGCTGAGATATCCTTTTATTTAAATCTTTCTGTAAATCTATATAGTCCCAATATCATTTACTCATTTTTGCACTTTTTGGGTGATATATCAAGATTTTCATTATATATCAAGTGACGTTTTGGTTAAAAATTCAACTGAGATGTTGTAATGTCGATTCAGCCTTATATTCATCCTAAAAGTTTGGTTTGGACTTGAGGTTTAGTTGAGGTCTAAAACCAAACAAATATCTACTTACGTAAACAACTAGAAAAAAAATTTAATGCTCAACTGAACCAAATTCTTTTGCAAAAGTTTGGCAAAGAAGCAAAAGATATCACCAAACTCTTTAGCAAAATTTTTGCAAAGAAGCGAAAGATATCACATTTCTCCATAGCTCTTTGGTACATCAAGTATGAACATCTATGATTATCTATACATATTATCCGATATTACACGCTGATATTTATTAATATCTTCAATATAACCTGATATTTGTCATTCGATATGGAATTGTTCCTTCCGCTATGTGCCCAATATCCGACTATGAGAACAGTGGGCATGAGGACTTCTCAGGAGGCCACCCATCCTAGTATTTCCCCAGCCCAAGAACACTCAAGCTAGATATTTTTCATGACAATTCTTCTCCAAAAAAAGAAAAGTGCTATAGTTATATTTAAGTTCATGGAAATTTTGAACGATTGTGTGCCATCACCTCTTGGATCATGTGATACCCCCCTTGCAGGTGATGCAAGACTAAAGAGGTTGTGCTTGCAGACTTTAAAGACGGCTCCCACCACTATCCTGTGTAATGTGCCAGTTAGCGTCATACCTTTATGTTCCACTTTAGACATGCATACCATCTACAACACCTTAATCAAGGATTTCCCAAAAGTTATCAGCCTTATTATTATTCTATGGCAAGCTTGCATTGACTTGATGTTCTTACCACGATTATGCGTAAAAATACTAGAGAACATTTTCTTTAGTTTATTGGAAACTTTAGATATTGTACACTTTGAGATTATCCAATCTTGTTAATTGTCTAGATATTTTATCAAGATGGAAAAGAATCAATTACAGAGAATTAAGAGATTACCCAAGGACTAACTCATGTTCTTGAAAGCTGATATGTAAAAGAGAAAAGAAAGAAAATTCTTTTTATTTCCAATGACAAATCCACTATCTGGAACCCAGTTAGGACTGTATGTATGCACTGCATTTGAACAGAGGGTTCAATTTGATTTTGCTATTACTGGATCTGAATGTTAATGATTTGACTTAAGGTCCTTAAGTAGCCTCCCTGCCTCCATACATACATACAAATCCTAACGTGCTTTAAATATTTCTAGCCCATTCATCTAATTGTTGCAAAGTGATAGTCTGTTTATTATAAAGTGAGAACGTTAGGTGGATTGCTAGAAGCTCTCAAGTTGCATTCTTTCAGTGCACATACATTTCATGGCATTTAGATCTATATGAATATTATGGATCACTGATTTGGCAGTCCACTTATGTAATTTGGTCTGTGAGAACAAACCTTGAGCTCATTCCTAGCGAACATTATGCTCTAAATATTTCTAGCCCATTCATCTAATTTTTCCAAAGAGAAAATATTGTTTAATATAAAGTGAAGAACGTTTTGTGGATAGCTAGAAGTTTTAAAACTGCATTCTTTTGGTGCACATACATTTCATTGCATGTACATCAAGATGAATACTATGGATCACTCATTTGGCAGCTCACTATGTAATTCGGTCTATGAGAACAAACCTTGAGCTTATTCCTAGCAAACAATAAAGCTCTGGCCATAATTATACACCCACGTACACTTGTATATGTATTTAATCCTTTAAATATGAGATATGTGAGTATAGGAAAAAAATGAGTATGAGGTGACAACTCATTTCGTGACATTAGTTACCAAGAGATAACCATATAGTGAGGGCCGTGAGGCACATCCTACTACTCATATCGAAGGAGTGGATCTCACCACTCTTTATCTCTTGATAGTTCATTTAACAAAATGGAATGTCACCTCATTACGATGTTAGATATCATTAGATTACTAGATATTATTAGTTATTATAAGATATTACTAGATATGATAATATCTCATACTTAATTTGTAATATCCTCCTAGTCTCTATTTAATAGATGTTAGAATTGGATGGTATAATAACTTTGTCTTCTCTTTCTCAACATGGTATCCAATGTTTTAAATATCGGATATCGGGGAAATATCGGATGGCCAAAATTCATATCGGATTGCGGATATCGGGGAAATATCGGGGATATGTGGTAAATATCGGAATGCCATAATGAATGTTTTCATGTATAGTATAATGCATTAAAATGTAATCTCAACATATGTAATGAAAATTTAAGCATACAAAATATGAACAATATATGTTTAGGATCACTAATCAACCTTCTAAATCAAAAAAAGTACAAAACAACGTTGCAACATTCGATCTGCTTTTTAGGGCAAAACGTCATTTGATATAATGGGGAAATCTTGATATCTCGCCCAAAAATTCCAAACATGGTATATTATTTTGCAACAAACTATATAAAAAGATATATTGGTCCACATATCGGCTAATATATCGGCCATATCGGGGATTTATCACTCAAAATAGCCAAAAAGCGGTAAAGGATATTTAAAGACCATATCGGGTTGACGGTAAGCCCTGTAAAAGGATATATCGGGCATGTCGGGGATATTTAAACAATGATGTATCAAAGCAGAGAAACTAGAAAACCCTACCCACAGGGAGGAAAAAACCTTAGCTACAAAACAGGCTAAATATCATTAAACCCTACTTAAATTTGTACGAATATTAAACCCCCCCCCCCCCCAACTTTCAAAATATCAAAAAATTTCTCTAAGTTTAGGCGTTATCCCTACCCACATGGAGGAAAAAAACTTTAGCTACAAAAAAGGCTAAATATCATTAAACCCTACTTAAATTTGTACGAATATTAACCCGCCACCCCACCCTAACTTTCAAAATATCAAAAAATTTCCCTAAGTTTAGGAGTTATCAGAGAACCCCTTAACTTCTTCATTTTATCAAAAAACCCCCTAAATTTGAGGGGTTTTCTAATAAAATCTTAAAGTTAAAAGGGGATTTTGTGATAATCTTGATACTTAAGGGAGTTTTTCTGATATTTTGAAAGTTAATGTGGTTTTCTGATGATTGTTGAAAGTTAAGGGGGGTTTTCTAATATTTAACTGTAGTACATCAAGCTGCTACAATATTCATCATGAATAGTACCCGAGGGTTGTTCACCATGAATGGTACCCCCCTCGATAATAACATTTGCAGAAATAGTTAGGGTTAGAATAAAACTTTATCTTCGCTTTTTCTCAATATAGTATCAGAACAGGAGAAACTAGAAAACCCTTGGCCATAAAATAACTCTAACCACAAAAAAACCATATCCAAATTATAAATTCAAATTGCTACAGTGTTCATTGGAATAGTAAGTTCTTTGGTTTGTTTCTTCTTCTGCAACTTGATATTTTCTTATATGCCTTGATGTTGTCATCTCTCACATCAAAGGATGCTAACTCAAGATCGAGCGAGAGATAGATAAAAGGGGGATTTCATTTGTTTTCCTATTTGTTCTGGTTGATCAGCCTAGAGTTTCTTTTAGTTGAACCCCCTTCCAAGGATGTCTTATGATTCCTATGTTTTCTTCGTGCCTCAACATGGGTTTATTTGACTTGATTCCTATGTGAGGGTCTTCTAATTCTGGCTGGTGGACTGTTTCCCGATCACAGAAACGAGGATATGCTCGTCATCTCATTTGACTTTATTCTGACTCCTGCCTTGTGCATTAGTGATCTTTGGCTGTGACTATAGTTTTCTGAGTGTTAACATCTTCTTAAATACTCCAAGCAAAGATAATGTTACAAAAGCTTTTGCAACTAGTTGTTTTGTTCCCATGTGTAACAAGTTGACAATATACGTTATATATGCTCCAGCTTAAGGGAAAGTGTTAGATATTATTAGATATATTTAAATATTATTACATATAATGAGATATTGTTAGATATGACTATCATATACCTATTTTGTAATATCCTCATGATCTCTATTTAAGAAATGTTAGGATCAGTGTTTTAAAGACAATGCGCCTTAGCATCTCAGGCACTCAGGCAATCTTGTAATTTAGCGCTTTGCATATTGCCACGCGATGAAGGTTACCAAGGCGATTGCCTTTTGTCCCTTCAATAGCTCGGCTTGGCGCCTCAGGCTGATACGAGTCGCCTTGCGAGCACCTTTGATCGCGGAATTATTAAAGATGGGTTGAGAAGAGGATGACAGAAACACAAGAATAATTCAGTATGTGATGAAGAAAAATACCCTATCTAGTTTATGAGTATGAAAAGATTACAATACCTCTCTCACAATCTCACTAGAATCGAGAACAAACTCTCAATTCTTTATGAGTATGAAAAGATTACAATACCTCTCTCACAATCTCACTAGAATCGAGAACAAACTCTCAATTCTCTCTAAACCCTAATCTCTCTTGATCTCACTAGAATCGAGAACAAACTCTCAATTCTCTCTAAACCCTAATCTCTCTTGATTAGAATCTCTCTTTAATTACATCTGATTTATTCTAGATCAAAACTGAACTCTCTTAGACCTAATCTCCTTAGATCTACATCTCTAACCATCTCCTCTGTTTAGACACCCTAAATCAATCCCTTATATAGGTGTAACAACGTGGATGACAAAGTGATAAATAACCAAGCCCAAACCCCACAGGAATTCGTGCAAACAGAAACCTAAACGAACCAGGAATCCTTCGATGAGTCGACTCATGTGCATATATGAGTCGACTCATGACACATGGGTCGACTCATACAGTGATGAGTCGACTGGTCAGAGACTTTTGACAAAACGACTGAGTTTCATGAGTCGATTTATGACAGGCATGAGTCGGCTCAACCTGATGAGTCGACTCGTGACTGTTATGAGTCGACTCACGGGCTGAAAACTGGATGCTTCGATTCTTCGATTTGCCGTCTCGTTCCACGTTTCAAACTGCGTTCCACTGTGTTGTTTTACACCTCTATTTTTAAGTTACCATGAGAATCATCTATCCTCAAGCTCCCATGAGGATCGCTAAGTTCCGAAGAGAAGATACACATGTATCACAGGCGCATGCCTAAGACGTGATGCGAGGCTCGAGGTGCTTGCCTCTATTTCAAAATTTTGGGGACGTGTAAGGTGTCCAATAAAGTAAAGTTTATTTTTGTTACTAAATTTTTGTGTTTCTTTTTTCATTATCGATTTTTTGCTATTTTTTGTTGAAATGCACTTTTATTATTTATATCATTTTGAGGACATGTCATAATTTTAACCTTAATGTTCAAAGTTTGTTGCTTAATTATTTGTGTTAAAAGTTACTAGTTAATATTATTATTCAATATTTGTTACTTATTATTTCCTTTAGATGGTTTACGACTTATTAAATTTGTGATTTCGAAAATTGGGTTGTGATTAATTTGTCTTGTTGCTAATTATTGATATTTGCATAACATTTGTAATGTTTGCGAATTTTTTAAATATTTATCATCTTGGTTCACTCACGCGATCACCTTTTTTCTGGCACCTCTCGCCTTGGGCAACAGAGGACCTCATCGCCTTGACCTCGCCTTTTGCTTTTAAAAAAACTGGTTAGGATTAGATGGAAGAATTATTGTCCTCTCTCTCTCTACAACCATCAAATGCACATGCACGGTTGTACACACACATTGCACGCACACCGCATGTGTATGCGTGTGTATGAGAAAGTAATACCTAAGATCACCTCGTGTAATTTACATGAGAAGGGCAACTAGTAACTGTAAAAGAGATCATTTTCTAGATGATTCAAAGTTCATCTTCATCCCATCCTTAGAAACATAAATATATAGAAAATTTTTAACTCGTTCATCAGGTAGGCAATATTTATTGTGTCATTTTCACTATCTATTGCTTCTTTTCCTGAAATCATTGTAAACATGTTTGATGCTAGTAAGAATAGAAAAAAAAATCTCCAAAATTTATTTTGAAAATGATTGCCTGACCATAACTAGATTCAGATATTCCATCAAATAATTAACTCAGCTTTTATTACCTAATAAATCAGTAAGTAGATAAACTGATTAAAAGTGGAAGATAGTTATGTAAGAAGAAGATGTTTATGCATCTATTGGAAAAGTGAAATAAAAATATAGATAAAGAAAACCTTTGTTAAGATATTTTCAACTGATTCATTATGATCCATGTCTGATATCTGGTATCAGGTGCACCTGGAGCTTCTATACTGTCCTTTTGGCATGAAGAATGGGTTCATCAATCCCTTCACAAATCAGAACTCATTAACTTCTTTGGAGAAAGTTCTCAAGACCGACACAAATGGAACTGAAGATGTTGCTATCGGAAGGGCATCAACAAGGAAGAAGGAGGTCATTGTGAGAGGGGTGCTGTCTGTAACAGTTATAACTGCAGAAGATTTACCTCCAATGGATGTCATGGGCAAAGCAGATCCATACGTTGTGCTAACTATGAAGAAGACAGGAACGAAGAATAAGACGAGGGTATTTCGCAATTCACAATAAACTTCTAAAACTCAGTAACTTATTAAATCATATAATCGTCATATATAATCATCATGTATTCCTTTGTAGGTCGTGAATGAAAGCCTGAATCCTGCATGGAATCAGACTTTTGACTTTGTTGTGGAAGATGGGCTCCATGATATGCTTATTCTGGAAGTTTGGGACCATGATACATTTGGGAAGGTTTGCTTACTAAATGTGGAAATGTTCGAATTATTTAAGGATAATCATTTTGACATTTTTCTTTGAAATATTAGGATTACATTGGAAGATGTATAATGACGCTAACGAGGGTTATAATGGAAGAGGAATATGAGGACAGCTTCCCTCTAGATGGGGCTAAATCGGGAGTGTTGAATTTGCGTCTCAAGTGGTCGCCACAGCCAATTTACAGGGACCCATAATCAGCCAATTCTATAGCAAATATTGAGGCGAACGTTTCAAACAAAGAGAAGGTTCCAGGTATACAGATTTCAATTACTGAAGATTGGAATAAGCTTACAGCTGCTTGTTGTATTATTAGTTGCGCTTGTCATTTTAGAACAAGCTGTTATGTTCATTGTAAGAATTGTAATTATAGATCAGAGAATCTTTGTTGATTTAGTAGCAGACAGACTTAAAGAGTAATATGAGTTAGTAGATCACTTATTCGCCAATGAGTTTGGGGGGATACTAAGCATGAATGCATGATGTTGGTACGAAGAATGGCTTTTCTTTCCTAAACTTTCTTTTGTCGATCTTAGTATGGATATGCTTTTTGTTTCCCAGGCTAATGGCACTTAAATACCCTTTTCCCAAAAAAGCACTTATATAACCTGAGTTTCAAAATGGAGCAATAAAGACCCCAAGTTGTAAAATTACTGTAGTTAGCTACCTTCTGTCAACTAGTCACAAGAATATTTTGAGGATATTCCCACATGCTGTCTCATGTGACTAATTTATTTGCTAAGTACACTCAATTATTGTATTATTTAACATTCTACCAATCCCTTTCTTTTTATTAAATAACATTCCTTTATCTTCTTCATCTTCTTCCATGTAAACCCAAATGCCATTTCCCCCCTAATTAGACTTCCATGTTATGTAAAAATCAATCAAAGGAGATGGCTTTACCTTCATAAAGGAATCACCAAGTTCTGAACCTTCAAATCTAAGTATTTTCCTCTAATTCGAAGCCCTAGAATTGGGACAACCTGTTGCGGGTCGTTGTAATCCTTAACCAGAATTATACGAGAGAGAATGGAGGCGAGAGACATTTTAGAAACAGGAAAACCCCTAGTTTTTCATTGTAGAACGAGAGAGAGAGAGAGAGAGAGAGAGAGAGAGAGATTTTAAGAAAACTAGTTGTAAGCGTAAACTTTTGAGGTTTTAATCATAGAGGGTTATTTAGGCAAAAGGGTACTTTTGCCTTTTAAGGTTAAATTTAATGCCATTAAGCAAATTCACATAGCCAACAATTTGGGATATTTTTTTGCTCTATTTTAACACTTGGGGCATATAAGTGCTTTTTTGGAAAACAATAAGGTATTAAGTGAAGTTTAGGCTTTTTCTTTTTCTTTTTTTATTTTACTTTTACTTTTACAATTCAAGACAGGAGGTCTAACTTGACTTTTAACTCGTTCCAATGTTAGGGTTCGGATCCAATATTCTAAAATATGTTATTGAAATGTAATCCAATTGCCCTATAATGGCCCAGAAAAAAATTCTGTCCAAGTAGAAGCTGAGGTGTGTTGTATGGGTGAAGTAGCCTATGAAGTTATGTTGTAAGACTAAATAGCACTTAAATATCTTATATACAGTGTCACTCACTTTGCACTTACATATCCTCACTTGTTTCTCATTGCATTTATATATCCTAAGTAGTTTACAATTGACACATTAGTACTCTTACATCAAACATGAAAACATCACCCGAATATTTCTATATGACAATTAGAATCAATTAGCATGTGAGTATCATATTTGTATATTCGTTTCGTGTGAAAATTTTCACATTTGCATAATAGAGGGCATTAATGTGCCAAATTTAAATGACTTAGAGCAAATAAATGCCACGGAAAACAAGTGAGGATATATAAGTGCTAAGTGAGTGAAACTACAAGATATTTAAGTGCTATTTAATACAGTTGTTTAATGAATGATTATGATTTATCTTCTTAAGGAAAAGAATGAATGAAATTCATGAGAGCATGATAATTGCTATATTTGAAAGAATCACAATCACCTACAACTATCCATCAAATAGTTGAAAATATCTTAACAAATAACTATCGCTCGGTGAATAATAGTTGTCTTTCTTTTCCTTTTGAAAGAATCACAATCACCTACAACTATCCATCAAATAACTAATGTCGGTGAAAAATAGTTGTCTTTCTTTTACTTTTGGGTCGTCGAGAGGTTCCAAATCCTTTGTTACCTCCCATAAAACAAACCACTTTACCGACCCTAAATTTAACCATAAAACAAACCACTTTACCTCCATCTTATTTATATAAAATCCAAAGAAAATATAGCCTCAACATCATCCTTCAAAATAAATACATCCTAAAGCTTAAGGACATCTCGAGGACATTGTACAAAATCTACAGCTTTTTCCCGACTCAACTTAAACTGAAACCAATACCTAAAGCACTTCATAACACCCACCCGTAAAACTCTTCAGCTGACTGAGGTGCAAACAGATTGCTGGCTATACAAACCAGGAACTGTATTGGTGAATTGATGCTTATTTTTCCTCCTATTTGAGACTACTGTAAATCCTTCAGTATCTTGCTTCTTACTTTTATGCACATCGGGTTTCAATTTCTCATTACTTTGTGTCTGTTTACCTGTGCTTTTATCGCCTTCAGACATTTTGATTGTAGCCTCAGCCTCAGCTTCATTATCATTTGACGAGTTCAAAACGGACTTGACGATGAATTTGAATAGCATCTGTCTTGCAAGCTCTGCCCTTTCTAAACTTTGCTTGCTTTTATCACCTTCACTGGAAAATTTTCCGACTTGAGGTTTCTTTTCAGGCTCAGAATTTTCCTCTCCTGTAGTGGTGATCGCTGGTTCTGACCTTTGGGACTTAGATGGCTGCAAAATATCAGTTTCCTCCCTCTCAGCATGTTGCCAAGCCTTTCCAGGCACAAACTCAGCAGCATGAGGGTTCATTGCACTAGGAACAGTGTTATTTTTACCTGTGACAGTGTTTTGGCCATTTGGGTACCCATGTCTTTTCCTGAAAGTGTGCCCAGTTCGGTAGTAAAGAGCTGATCGAGGGCCACGGGGGACTCTTGTGTCTACAGACTGAGGAGATGGAATTTCAATAGGTTGAGGTACAATCGTCTGATGAGCTATTCTGGCATCATAGAGATCACCAACTGCCACAGAGTTGTAAGGATGTGATGTAGACAGTAACGAGCCTGGATTGAAGGGAGGAGCCGAAGCTGAAAGTTTGCTTCTCTTTTTTGTGGAATTCATTGATTCAGACTCTTGAGTTTCGTCAGAACTTGAAGAAGGTTTCTCCACTTCGCTCAGGGTTGTATCTTTCTCGCTGTTGTCACTCGACGCTTCCTCTTGAGCTGTTTCTTGTGTCAATGCTGCATCCTCCCCTTTGCGGGTCTCTAGAGAACTGTCTGATTCTGGAACCAAATTTTCTTCAAGTTGGTCCACTGCTGGCTTCAAAACTGTGCCAGGTGGTGATATTGCTACTTCTTTGTAAGATACAGTTTTTGAAGCCACTACACCGAGTCTAGTTGTACCTGAAGCTCTTGCTTCTGTTTTGGGAGCCTTAGCTTGTTTCAACTTCTCACTAGGAACACCATTAGGCGTTGTTTTTGTTGGTGTCGTGCTTGATTTAACCTGAGGTAATTCCGTTCTTGACTTATAACTGGAACTTCTGGAGCTTGAGTTGTTTATCACTAACTTAGCAAGAGCTGGTCTTCTAGAACCAGATTTTCTTCGCATTTGTGCAGACCGTCCTCTTGTGCTAGCCTCTTGCCACCCTTCATCTGAGTATTCGTCACCAGATACTACATCGACCTGTCTTGGCTCGAGTTGAGTTGTTCTTTCTGTTTCTTTGAACTTTTCTATACGACGTTCTCTGGACTTTGGATCCTCCACAGATTCTTGATGCAGAGCATGAGGAATTTTGGGGATTGTTATGTTCTCTAAACCATCTGCAGTCATGACATATTGCTCTTGACTAGCTCTATTTGTGTTCTGCATTGGATACAGGATTTCAGGAGGCAATTTAGATAAATATTAAAGGTCCTTAACATAATAATGAGGCAGAAGCGCTAGTCATAGCAGTCATATAGAGAGGTTTAAAGTAATTGCAGATACATGTCATGTACTGTAGGAGGTTAGCCACATATTACCCCTAATTTTTTTTATTAGCACTTAGATTTTTTATGCCTGGACAGAGCCATTTATTACCCCTAATCTTTTTATTAGCACTTAGTTTTTTTTTTTTTTTTTTGCCTGGATGAGGTTACCTTTCTGTTATGTTATGTGTATTTGTACAATAGAAGGTGTATGTTCAACACCTATAAACAGGAGGTCTTTCTGCAGCACAGAGAAACATCATGGGATCTCTCTACTACACATTGACGCCATGTGACTCCCACATGACAGGTACTGATAGCGGAAAGGTAACACCATTTTTGGGATCAAGTGTTAATAAAAAGGTTTACGGATAATAATAAGTGGCTAAATCACAATAGTCGAGGACGCATATTTGCAATTAAGCCTTAATAAACATAGTGAAAATAATCATTTGCCACTATTGATAATGTTGTCCAGCATGTCTGTAAAAATATGCTCCTTTCTATCTATTTGCCTGGAGATGCTATCCTTATAGTGCCATGGGTTTAAGACGCAAATAAACCTTGTACCAATCACCAAATAAATATTTTATGCTCTTTTGTCTATATGTCCTGAAACAAGTACTAGTGAAAAAGAAAATGATAGTCTGACCATAAATGACATTTACATGTTTATACATGTCAAAATTCCTCCACTACACCAAAACTCAGAAAGTTGTGAAGAAGTGGAGGGTTATAATTTTATATTTTAACGTACCCTCGCAAGTCGATTGCTCTTTCATGTGCTGAAACCTGGACCGGCAAAGTAGTATCTTTTCTTTAATTCCAACTTAAATTCATGGACAGTGGGATTTAAACCTGGATTACTCTAATATCATGTTAAAGTTCATTCTACTATACCAAAACTCCAAAGTTGATGTGAGGGTGAGTGTTATACTTGTATACTATAACAATACATCTTTAAATTTTTTTTTAACTTTTAATAAGGAAAGAATTCCTTTCTTATTTGCCGTACAAACTTCCCAGCTGATAGAAAGAAATCACCAAGAGACCGATAAGTGAGGACACTTCTAATCTTAAACATACCCTTTTGCAGACCCCTTATAGGATATTCCCTTGATGCAGATTCATCATTTAACAAAACGAAATTTACAACTATTCTACAACGGAGTCTTGTATTCATAAAAAGAGTAAAATGGGTTTCTAATATATTTTTTAACAAGGGGATAAGTGTAGATTTCAATATCTCAGATGACCCACTTAAGAAAAAAAAATCTAAACAATGAACGCCATTTTGCAGTCACAATTTTTATGTAGTATTTTAAATGAGGTCAGTCAAATGTTTA